AAAAAAAAAAAAAAAAAAAACTTTTTTTTTAAAAAAAAAAAAAAAAAAAGAGCCAGCGATGACCTACTTAGAATGGCCCAACTGTCTGTGACTACTCATGAGGGCCCCTCCCTCAGCAACCCACAGAATCCAGCCAAGTGACGTCCCAGGCCACCTTTGCCAAGATAGGCCAGAGAGCTCTTCCTGAGGATAAACATGACCCACAGCCTGGAGCTGGAGGCCCCAACCAGACTAAGGTCCTGCCGTGCCCACTTTTTCTGTTCCCTGCATGCGGATGCCCAGAACGGCATGTATATGTTGACCGCCGTTGATGAGGAAGAAGCGATTAGCAGCCAGAAATAGACAGAGGCCCTGCCATCCTTTCCGATGTCATGCCCTCCTCCGTCAGCACCACAGCCTGGGAGGCTTTCTTCGTACTCCCGGGAGGCAAGAAGACAGGAACAAGCACATTTCTCCTGGGGGCTCTGCCATTCCTGGAATGCATGACCTTGTGAAGAACAGAAAATCACAGCTTTAATGTTAAGGCAGCAAGACCCAAAAGACTCACAGCAACTGCACTGTAGGTTCACTCTTTCTGGAATATGAGTCCCTTTGGGTGAAGCCCCCTTGGTGAATGGAGAGCCTCTTCCCATTAAGTCCCACCGGAATCCAGAGAACAAGCTTAAAAACCTTGTCCTCCTGTAAACTAGACCACAATTCCTTTCCTCTTGGGAAATGTCCCTTTCTTTGTATAAGGCCCTGGGCTGTTGCAGAAGGTCTCAGCCACAGAGGCTGCTAGAACCTGGGTATACTGGGGTGGGAGTGGTGGGCTCTCTCTACATATCTCTTTGTATCTCTAGATATGTAGAGATATGTAGTTTCTGTCTCTGTCATTCTGTGTTTCTGTGTGTCTGTGTGTGTGTGTGTGTGTGTCTGTGCGTCTGTATGAGTCTCTGTGTGTGTCTGTTTCTTTCTGTATTTCTCTGGGTCTCTTTCTGCAACCCTTGGCCTCTCTTTGCATGTCTCTCTCTGACTGTGAATGTGAGTGTCCCATTGTGGGTGCCTTGGTCTCCCTGTCTTGTCTTCTCTCTCTAGATCTAGAGGGACATGGAGACAGAGGTTGGAAGACCCTTTGCACAAGCCTGTGTATCTGGATGGCTCTCTTCCAACAGTGAGTTGCCATGCCCCTTGGTATCTCTATTTCTGTTTCCCCCTGTGGCTCCTTTTAACTGTGTTTCTCTCTCTGTCTCTCAAACATGATCCCTTCTACATTACCCCTGAAAGCCTCACATAGTTTATTGTAATTTCTTAATCATTTAACAAGAGGGAAAAGATTTCCCACAGTGGGACATCTGGGGATATTGTTGATATCAAAGAGGATGCCCTGGGGCTGGGGAAGGAGGAAGACAGGGAACAGCTGTGTGGAGCCAGCACCTCTACTCACTCTCTCTTAAGTACACCCCATGCTAATTTAAGAGCATTCTCTCTCAGGCCTGATTGTTTCATAGGGACAACCAAACTTCAGTAGTGCAAGAATGAGAAGTATGAATGTACTTCTAACCTTAGCCAGATGGGAGCTGATTACATAAGGAGAACACTTTCAATCAAGAAAAAATAATTTCTCATCAGAACTCATCAAACTGTGATTTTTTTAAAAAAAGGAAACAGCATATATATGGCATGCACATGGGGACCCACTTGCTTTGCACTCACCTCCCAAGTTAGGAGTGTAGCCTGGTTGGTTAGCTTGGCCCTTTGGTGGGGTGACAGGAGTAATCAGAAGAAAGGTTCTGCTGAAGAGAGAAATATAATTTCAGTTATGATTGGCCTGTTTTCAATGATCACAGTTATCCAAAGCACATGGAGACTTGTGACCTACAGCAATTTATTTTTACCATTTCACTTTCTCCCTCTCCTTGTTTGTATTAGAACCACTGACCACACAGAAACAGGCTGGTGGGAGAGATGCCCCCTCCTTGGCCTGGCCTGGCTCCCTCTCTGGAAGGCGCCCCTGGTTAGGGAGGGAAATGGGAGAAGGCAGTTGAGTGGAGTGGAGGGAGAAATCAACTCTAAAATGTCTCCTTGCGCCCAAATCGCTCCCTTTCAGCGTGCCTGCCGAAATCCTTAGCATTAGAGTTATCCCCTTGTGATGGGCCTGGGCCTAAAGTATCCTGTGTTCTAGGTATATGCTGCCTAAGATAGGCAATACATTAACTCATTGGTAGAATTATTACACGTGAGTCACATAATTAGTGACATCGAATAGTAAATGAACACAGGCAAGCACATTGATTATCCTGGGTTTGGGAACCTGGGCTGACACTGTCCAGGCAGGTGTCACAAGTTCAATCGGGACCTTAGAGAACTGCCACCTAGTGGTCAGAGGTCTGCAAAGCAGGAGAGGCGAAAACGACTAGCCCCCTTGCTCTGAGTCAGGCTGAGGCAACTTCCCGGCAGTGAAAGAAAACTAGTGGGCAGAGTGAGGGCTGGGCTGCAAGAAGTTAGATAAATGTACTTAGCACCAATACCAGCGGTTCTTAACCCTGGCAGCACTTAGAATCACTGGGGAGCTTTCTAACGAAAGGACTGAGCCTTACCCCTAAGGCTTGCTGGTTAAATTTTTCTTGGGTGGGGTCAGGATGTGGTATTTTAAAAGGCCCTCTAGGTGTTTCTAAGGTGCAGCCACCATTGAAAACTACTGACTCAGATAATCAAAAACTGATAATAAAGTTCTGGGTATGATCCTGACGTATGTTTTTTAAAAATGACTCTTTCCAAAGCACTGAAGAACAGAATTTCCCCGTGGTGGCTGGGGATCAATACTGAAAACATAAGGAAAGGAGCCGTGCTCCGTGGGAGCAGGCGCAGAGCAGGGGAGGTGGCAGGGGGCACTTACAGCAGGGGCGCTGCTGTGAGGAAGGTGTTCACCACGCTCGGGCACTTCAGGAGGCCTCGATGAGTGGGTCTCAGCGTTGGAATCAGCCAAAGCCCAGGCCACACTGCCCAGCAATCCAATGAGGACCTCCAGGGCTGGGGCCCGGGCCACAGGATTTGAAGCTTCCTGATCGATTCTGATATTCAACTAAGGTTGAGCGCTGTTGCTTTATTATTTTATTATTATTATTTTTTTAATCCTCATTCTAGGATATGTTTAGAGGGAGGAAAAGGGGGCAGAGAGAGAGAAAGACAGAGAAATATCAATCGTTTCCCTCCCATACACACCCCAACCGGGATGGAACCTTCAACCGAGGTACGTGCCCCGACAGGAAATCCAACCCTCAACCTTTTGGTGCATGGACGGCACTCCAACCAACTGAGCCACCTGGCCAGGGCTTTTATTTACTTATTATTTTTTATTTTATTTTATTTTATTTTATTTTATTTTATTTTATGTTTATTATTTTATTTNTGGTGCATGGACGGCACTCCAACCAACTGAGCCACCTGGCCAGGGCTTTTATTTACTTATTATTTTTTATTTTATTTTATTTTATTTTATTTTATTTAGTTTATTATTTTANCCCCGACAGGAAATCCAACCCTCAACCTTTTGGTGCATGGACGGCACTCCAACCAACTGAGCCACCTGGCCAGGGCTTTTATTTACTTATTATTTTTTATTTTATTTTATTTTATTTTATTTTATTTTATTTTATGTTTATTATTTTATTTTTTATTATTTTATTTTATCATTTTATTTTATTATTTTATTTTATTACCATTGCTTTAAAACCACTGCTTTATTCTCAGAAAAACATGGTGGGGTTAGCGAGAGGTTAGAGGGGTAGGTGGTGGTGTTTTTTATTTTTATTTTCCTTTGTTTTTGTTTATTTTTTAGCAGAAAGGCATGTAGAGGGGTCAGCAGCCTCCCAAGTATGAAGACCAGGGGCTGGGAAGAAAATCAAAGCTTTGGTAAGAGTGAGGCAAAAGGGGATAGAAAAATAAAGGGAAGAAAGAAGACGCAAAGTGAGGGGAGGGAATGGAAAGCCGAGGGTTATAGGGAGGGGGCAATGCTATCACCCAGGGCCACAGGGTGCCCAGCCCCTCGAATGACCCGTCACCCTGCTCCACGCAAATCTGCGGCAACACCAGTCCATGCGGGCCCATGTGGATCCCGTCGGATGTTGGCCTGGGAAGGTCTAGATGTCCTCCGCTCTCGTTTCTGGGTATGATCACTGGGCCCACCCTGAATCCCCTCTTTTGCTGCCGTTTAAAATTTTTTCAGTTTCTCCTGGGTTGCACCTTGCAAAACAATGCTACATGGTTACTAAATTATAGGAAGCGGTGATAAATGAAAGGGCATGTATACCATCCAGTGCCTGGACAGGCCCCTAACCTTCTTTTTACAAGTCCAGTAACCATGGCTGGCAGCCCCTCTTGAAAATAAGCTATTAGATAGTTTTTGTGTAGGATCAGAATTTGTTTCCCTGACTTTTCACGCTTTGGATGTGGTTCAACCAATTGGAGTCATAAAGAACTAGTGGGCTGCCAGGGGGATCTGAGACATTTAGCTTCTCTCATTTGTCTGTTTCACCCCTGGGTCTCCTCCTAATGCATTTAAGTCAACTTTCATCTCTTTGATGTGGTGCCAGGGCTCCAGAAAGAATTTGAACAGCTCAGAGAAGCACTCACTCAGCACTGGTGAAAACTCCATAGCACAGAGTGTTAAGGATAGTGTTAGCAACATTCCATATGCCAGAGGCCCCAACGTTGTTTTCTTGTCAAACCTTTAGGTGCACAAAGGACTATGAAGGCTTTACCTCTGATATTCTGGAGGCCCATTTTGCAGAGGTCACTCGATCCTTTAAGGCTTCTCTTATCTGGATAAAGAAATAAAAGGAAAAACCACTTCACATAACTTTTACTACAGTATATTGTTATAATTGTTCTATTTTCGTATTAGTTATTAATTTTTTAATTATAAACTTTATGGTAAATTAAAATAAATATGTATGTGTAGGGAAAAAAACAGAGTATAAATAGGGCTCAATACTATCCATGGTTTCAGGCACCCACTGGGAGTCTTGGAAAGTATTCCCCACAGATATGAGAGGACTACTGTACAACTTTTTGTCAATTAATCATAACATCTTTCGATATTTACCTTTTATGTCATTATTTCAAAGGTAAAAGTTTTGCTCCTGATGGAAGCTTCCATATCTTAGAGCTTTTTGCACACCTTACACCACCTAACACTGCTACACTGATTAATAACGCTGCTTCTGCTGTTGCTTTGGCTACAAATACTAGTTTTGGCATTAGGTTAATTAAAAAACATAATAATACGTAATAACTTAAATGCTTTCTTTGTGTTTTCACGTGCAAAATTTTTGTTGTTCTTTACCATAATTTAGAGAAAAGGCAGGGAAAGTATCATTACCTCTGCATTCCCTTTGAGGAATCTGAGGCTTGTGAGAGTTAAGGAACCTAATGGCACGCAGCTAGTACACAGAAATCTCAAGACTAAAAGCCTAGCACTCTAACCTCTACATAATTTTTATCAGGTTATGGTATCCTTATGAGAAAATGAAAGGACCATTGTGAAATGCCTTTTTATTTATGAGCTTTGCATATTAACTTGTTAGTAGAATAGCATTGGTGGTAAAATTAATTAATTAATTAAAAATTAAACAATAAACCCTTCACTGAAGGTGTTTGCATCTACATTTGAGAGGCTGTCATTTCAAGAGACAGTATAGCCCAACGGAAAGAGGGTGATTTTAGAAGCCTAAGCAAACATTTGGTGTTTTGTTCATTTGTTTAGATTTTATTTGTTTTCACCACCCACTACCGATACAAATTCTCTGTGCTGGGAGAATTCCTTTCCTTGACCCCATTGCTCATTAAGGTAGAAGCCAGGAACCCACTTTCCCAGCCTCCCTTGCAGCTCAGATGCAGCCATGTGACCTGGACTCAGCCGTTCATTCAGACGTGACAACTCAAGAAGCAGGTGCCAGTGGGTCCCAACAGGCCTTGGCTTGGTGAGCTGTGCTTCTGTGCCCAGCAAAGTAGGGAAAGTGTTGCATGTGGAGCAATTCTGTGCTGTGAATTGGGAACTATTCCTGGTGTGTAGCCTCCATGTCTCCAAGCCAAAGAAAGATCTTCCCAAAGATGATACTGTGAGATTTAATAAGTTCCTTTCTGCTTCTACTAGTTAGAGTGGGCTTCTGTAGCAAGCTACTTAATCACTCTGAGTCTGTTTCCTCATTCATAAGACTGAAAATAGGAATACCCAAGATTGTTTTAAGAATTCGAGCCAATGTACATAATATGCTTAGCCCCATAAGAGCTTGAAAGATGGCCAATATTACTTGCATCATAAAGAACAGTGATGTCCTGTTAGTGTCTGCACAAATAATTGAGGTGAAAGACCCTCAACAGGTGGGCTTTACAAATGAGCATTTCAGGTTCAAGTATTCTTAATGCAGAAAAAAAATGAAGGATTTATAGTACCTTTGGATCCAGGATTGTTCCAAACACCAAGATGAAGAAGCCCTGAGAAGTGAGAAGGGACAAGAGCCATTTATAAAATAATATTGATAATAATAATATCAGCATTCATGATCAGTTCTTATTCTGAAACTGATAAAATTAATAAAAAGAAAGCTGAAATGAGGACCATTTGGTTCAATCTTTGACTCATTTTAAGATCACAACACCTACATGCACCCATTCAACAAATATTGATAGAGCATCTCCCATGTGCCAGCCACTGTTCTAGGGGTACCTCAGTAAACCAACCAGATCAAGGTCCTTGATTCATATAAATATATTATACAAATTTATTTTTAATTTGGGCAAAATAAAAGTGTTTTGCATTTATCAGGAGCTGTACAGGTCACCAGAATATAATGGTGCAAGCAGGAGTCAGAAGAGATGTTAAGCAATGGATAAGCAGCCTTATAATCCCTGAATAATTAGTAATGAAAGAAAGTTCCACAGGAAAAAAAATAAAAAGCATCCATGCTCAGTTTTACTTAATACCCTCAACCTCCTTCCCCCATCCACAACCAAAAACTTATAAAATTTGCAAAGAAAAATCAAGTGTATGGATCATCAGAAAAACTAAAACCCCAAACAGATTGAGTTTCTAAGCACATAATGGGTGCTCAGAAATAAGTGCTCCAAATATGATACAGAGGGAATTAATTTGCTCTCATATGTCTTATCATCCATAACAAACCCAGGCCCCATTATAGGCCATTTGAGTTTTTTAATTTTTTTTCATATGTCATAGCACAAAACCACCCCAGAAGAAGGAAAAGTATTCATCCTATTTTGCAAATAAGGAACAGGAAGCTCAGAGACTAAACTTTCAAAATGTGATGGAACATTGATTAGACAAAATCTCTCTTTAAAAAATGTGATCACTCAGGTATTCACTCACCAGGTTGTCCTCAGCAGCAACAATACCAAACCCACTTCTGCCATGATCTGCAAAAGCTCAGCTGAGGGGTGGAGAACTTCACAGGGACAATTGCCTGGATGGCCATGCAGCTCATCCATTGCCCTAAACATACTAAAATACACTTCTTCGTTCAGCCAGTCTAGCAAGTGCTCCAAGCTTGGAGAGCCTCCATCAGGTTGCTTTTTTGTGTGACTCCCTTAGCCTATAACTATTGAAATCTGTCATTGGTCTACTAAGAAAATGCCTTTGAAGGCATGATACAGAAGGTTAAAAAGTATCATTTGTATACAGATGCTTAGGACAAATACATCCCATTCTGTTTTTGGCACTAAGGATACATTTTAAACCAGAATCTCCATGAATTTTGCCCAAGAATTAAATTTTTAAAAGATCTGGGAACCACAATTCTAGCCTGTTTCCTCCACAAATATACATCCCTTTGGCTAAAGGACTAAGATAAATTTATCTCCTTGAATGATTTTCAATTTCTTGAAGTTGGACTAGTTATATTTATATCTGCAACATTTAGCATAATGCTTGGCACAAAATAAATACTCAATAAATGTGGTATCTTTGTGTATTTGTTTGTGTGTCTGTATCTATGTGTGTGTTTAATTTTTTTCTTATACAATCTGCATCTGTATAGCTGTAAATATGTAACAGGGAAATATCTCACTACAATCCCTTTTCATTGGCCCATGCCTCATTGGAAAAAGTTACACATTTTCATTCAGAAAATGTGGATAAAATATTAGTCATAAAGTTTAGTTTCTAATTGAGATGAATTCACAGGTAGCAACTTCTTCCCATTTCTTTTAGTAGAAAAAGCACAATTTGAGCAGATAAATCCTAAGGTATTCTCCCAACTTTTAAAATATGTGCTTTACTACCACAGATTAAAGGTTTGTGTCCCCACAAAAGTCATACGTTAAATCCTAACCTCCAATGTGAAGGTATTTGGAGGCACTTTGGGAGGTCTTTAGATTATGAGGGTGGAGTCCTCATGAAAGAGATCAGTGCCCTTATAAAAGAGGCCCCAGAGAGCTCCCTTGCCCCTTCCACCATGTGAGGTTATAACGAGAAGACAGCTGTCCAGCTGTAAATCAGAAAGTAGGCTCTCGAAAGACACCGAATCAGCTCATGCCTTGATCTTGGACTTGCAGCCTCCAGAACTTTGAGAAATAAATTCCTGTTGTTCGTAAGCAACTCAGTATTATATGGAGTCTCCAAACCTTACCCAGCCCACAAGCACTCTCAGTAAATACAAGAGAAGATACCAACTAGAAGCTGCAGATTGACAAAGTAGCATTCAAGGCAGCAACTGACTGTACAGGGTGGGGCAAAAGTGGGTTTACAGTTGTTCATATGGAAAATAATACAATAATTGATAAGTAATGATACAAGAATAAACTCTGTGTTTCATATATTCACAGCTGTAAACCTACTTTTGCCCCACCCTCTATAATAATCCTTCCCTAGTAAAGGGGGTGGTTGAGATTTAAAACCACTGGCAGCGCTTCCACAGGCGTAGGACCAGGAAATCTTTCAGAGCCTTTCTCCTACACTTTCTGGATCTCACTGTATATTTATGAGTCTTTCTTCTCCACCTGCTTTATCAACCTCAGTTGCCTTCATCTCAGTACATACTAAGATTTCGCTCATCCGGTTTCTTTCTGCTCAGTTGTTTTTGTCTCCCACCTCATTGGATCTATGGCTCTCCTTTCTCTCCTTCACCCACTGATAGGCTAGCAATCAACCTGCTAATTTGCAGCACTTGCCAATCTCCAGGGTTAAATACTCCCACCATGGTTGATTTAAACCTAGCAACGTGACATCACTGATGGAAGAGAAGACTACATCATTACACAGCACTTCCACCGTGCAGATATAGTAGATGCAAATAACCTCAAGAGCAGAGTAAAATGCAGAAAAACAATTAGGAAGTGATTCGTTTTGATGATGTTCGGCTTTCATTTTCAATCTAATTTACTTAATTGTAAGTCTACATAAGTTAATGATGTCTGTGTTTACAAGCAGCTCTCAAAATTCCTGGAAATATAGTAGCCAGCTCTCCTGAGCCAGCAAGGCAGCTTCAGCACACCGATGTCTGGCCCTGACCCAAACCCTGCTCTCAGCTTCTCACCGTCCTGGTGTTGGTACTTAGCTGGGCCCCACCCTCCTCCTTGCCGGGTGTCAAGGCAGAAACTCACTTTAAATTGCAAGTTAATCCTGTTTTGACAGGTAAAAGAGCTTATGATACCAAAATACAAGTGCTCACAGCCTAATCCAAAACAAAGAACACAGTTAAGATGGCCCCAAGGGCGACAAGGAAAGGAAAATTCTGAGAAGTAAGACACGAACTCATTAAGTTCATGATAAATAGCCATGGAATATGCTGAACAAAAATGTAGGAACACTAGGTTTTCATCCCAGTCCTATCAGCGACTAGCTGCATAAACATGGGTAAAGGAATTGATAATTATTAAGAGCTACACAAAAAGTGCAGGATACAATTAATATATTCTATAGAAATGCACAAAAACAACAACAGATTCAAAAGATTAGACACTTCGATTACTGTTAACATTGCTCTCAAAGACATCGAAATGTTTATAGTAAATAAAATCATTTATACCTAAGCTCTGAAAGAGAAAAATGAGAAAATATTGGACTTAAAATTTCTATTCTTCATTAGGTAAAATATTGATTTGAAAATAAGCTTATTTTCAAATTAGCATACATTTAGGGAAAAAAAATCATTTAGAAGTCTTCAGAAAAATAAAAGCTTTCTTTTCAATTAGTTGTTATTTACATATTTAACATTCAACATAATAAGCTCTGACTCATTTCTACAAGGTGACAGAAAAAAAACTGGGGGAAAAAATTATTCAAGAAGAGAATTGTTGAATATTGAATACTATCCAGCCATTAAAGAGACATATATATATTCATAGTAACCTGGCAAATACTGGGATGTATTTTTAAGTGATAGAGTAAGTTGTAAAATACTACACATTGTTTTTAACCCCTATATTATACTATGTAAAAAAGTGTTTGTATATAAACGTAGAAACTTGATAAGGCTATACATGAAAACATGAACATTTTTTAATTCACAGAGGTGAAGTAAGAGAGGAGAGTACAGAGGAAATGATTTCTGATTCCACTCTGTACAGCTGGCTTCACTAAAATAAGATGGTTTCCAATGGTCAACTAAAAATTCTAAATGGAATAAAATATAAATGTGCATATGTAAATACTTCCAGTTACATACCTAGATTTAGGGGAGTGGTATTGTTTCATTTCTAAACTAGTTAAAACTCAGTCTACTGTTAGGCTACTTGTGATCTTAATATTTTGTGCTTTCCCATTCACTGTTTTATTTTCTTTTTCAAATACTCCTATAAAGCGAGCAGATTATACTCTTTTAATAAGTGAGAGAAATATGGCTTGGAAAGGTTAAGCAAATATCCCAGGAGAATGTTACACATTAGTAAATGAGAGAGTCAAGATTTGAATCCAGGCCTTTCTGAAACAAAAGCTTATTTCCTGACCCAATCAGCTATTCCAAGTCCATTGTCTTTTGTAAATCAATGCGATGGCACAACCTTCTGATCACAAAACTTTTTCCTGAATTCTCTCGCTTTGAACTTGGTCAGAAACATCTGGACTTACCTGGAAAGCGTTAAGCAAGGAGAAGAGTATGTGGAAGACCAGGGAGCTATCGTTGATGACTACGGCTATTCCGAATCCCCAGGTCAGTCCCAGCAGCGGTGTGAGGATGGCAATATTCTTACTGATTCTCACAATGGCTCTCACCTCCTGGAACATGGAGCTGCCAATGGTAGCTCGCTGGGTCTTGACAATCACCAGTGTCACCGTGATCAGGTTTACTACCACAATAGCCAGAGCTGGGACCACAAAAGCCAGGAGGGCCTTGGTCATGTCCCAGTTGAGCCAGCAGGCCTCAGGCCGTAGGTAGCCTTTGCCAGGCTCAGTGGCAGCAACCGTGATAACAGCAATGACCAAGGGGCACCCATAGCCCACCGAAAAGAGAGATGCCACCAGGACAGACTTGGGTAGTGTGTGGAAAACAATCAGGATCCCATAGAGGATAAGAAGTGCCATAGCAAGCATCCAGAAAAACACAGCAAGGTAAAAGAAATGAACAAAAAATGTTGCCGCGACGCATCCATTGTGGTGTATCCTCGGACCACTCAGAAGGGAAGCCACGATGAACCACGCATCGGCCATCAGCAGGGTGGCCGCAACGTTAGCGATACACAAGTGGCGTAAAAATGAGATCTCGGTCTTCGTCACTCGGCTCCAGACCAAGGCCTCAATGGACAAGCAAAGGATCAAGCTGCAAATAGAGACGCCCAGGCCTATGTACGTGATGTAAGTCAGGATAGGACTCCGCAAGGTGTGTGGTGCCATGAGAATGGAGAAAGAGGTAAACAACTTGCTTGGCCTACATTTGCAAACGGCCTGCTGGGAGTCCTCCTGAATCATTTGGCAGGCGTGCTGGTCCCATCTGCTCTCTAAGGAGTGCCAGCCAACACACTGTGCCCTCCTCTCCTCTGAATTCCTGATCTTTTCAAAAATCAGTGAGATTCTCTTAAGTTCCTTGGGCAAAATGACAGACAGGACAAGTCCATTCACAGTGACATTCTCCAGAAGACTGGCTTCTAAGATGGCTCCAAGAGTTGGAAAGGCAATGCTGACGACTTGAGAAGGAGAACGCACCTTCTGAACTTCATCTCTGCTGATCAGCACCCTCCCAGTGACTCGGGTGTCATTAACTCTCATTGAGAAAGTTAAATTCTTCCCATTGCTATCTCCGGATATGGTGGTGCACATAGTATGAATGAAGACATCCGATATGTCAATGGGATGTTTATTGGTGACTAGGTTTCTCGCAAAGGTGTTGACTGAGTGTAGCAGCACGCAGCTGCTGTTTTTCTCAGGGATGAAGGTCCAGTTGGAGATGCTTTTGCTGTCAAGAATGTGGTTGGCCATGATGCTGTAACTCTGTCAACAAAGAACCCACATTAGTGCCGAGCCACTGTCAGAACGTGCCAGGGAAGTTTAAGCTTCACTTTTATAAAGCATGGTCCTGCAACCAGCAACATAGGCATCCCCTGGGAACCTCTTAAGGATATAGAATCTCGGACCCCATCCCAGACCTAAAGGATCCGAATCAGCATCTTAATGAGATCACCAGGTGACTCACATGCCGCTCAGGTTTGAGTTGGAGGGCAGAGCTGCAAGGGAGCTGCAAGGGAGCTGCAAGGGAGCTGCAGGGGGGCTGCTGCCCTCCTGCTTATGTGATGCCTTCCTGTGAGGCAGGCGGGTGGGCAGCCTTCACCGTGTTTATCGCCACCGGCAGTTCCTCTTCACACCTGGGTGAAACTAGCAATTTGCTTACCCTGGTCAGAGCATCCACTGTGTGATTAACATCTATTGAATCCCAACTGTTTGGGGGGCACTGTACAGGAATATGCCAGATTGGAAACTGACCCCAGGGGCTCAACCTCCTTTCTAATATCCTCTACTTTGAAGATCATTTTATTTTATTTATTTATTTATTTATTTATTTATTTATTTATTTATTGACTTCAGAGAGAGGAAAGGAGAGGGAGAGAGAGAGAGAAACATAAATGATGAGTCATTGATCAGCCACCTCCTGCACGCCTCCAACTGGGGATCGAGCCCACACCCTGACCGGGAATCAAACCCCAATCGCTTGGATCCTGGGTTGACACTCAACCACTGAGCCACGCCCGGTCGGGCTGTTTTCCATTTTAGCAACCTGTTCTGACTCGAAAGTAAAAGCATTTCTCTCTGCAGGACCTGGAATGGCCCTTAGAGGTTTGCAGTAGCCAAAGTACACATTAGGAAAGCTCACAACCGGGCACCCAGCAAGTGCTCTCTGAATGTCTGTTGATTGTATCCACTTTTTTCCACTCATTTTTTTCTTCAATGAAGATTTATTTCAAGCACTTACCTGGTATTGGGGATACTGAGGTGAAAGACACGGTCTCTCCAACTAACCTGCCTTCCTTTCCCATCCCTCTCCCCAAAAAACACAAATGCCCTCCAAGCGCTCAAGGCCACTGACCTGCATCTTCGCTTCGTCCACGTCTGTGGACAGCATGGCCGATATGTTGCGGAGGAGCTGCACGATGACGGCGATGTTCCCTGGAATCCGGGGGGAGCGCTGAATGTTGCTGAGGACACAGGACAAATCCTTCGGACACTTCTGCATCAACCTATCTGCAATGGTCTCAGACGTTCTGGCATATTGACTTATATTCTTACCTCCTTGAACTGATGGAACTGTATGAAAATCCTCCTAAGAAATGGCAAAAAGTAAGTTTGGTTTTTTTTATCATGTTACTTTGGTTTTCAAAGTAAAAGTACCTCTACTAGAATCTAGGACAGCCTTATTACACAACTGTATATTGCATCATGTTTTTCTCTTTTACATTGTCAAAGTCACATCTGCTATGGAGCAACCTGCGCAGTACCGAAGTGTGTGAACAGAAAATGGAAGGCCAGGCTTGCCAGTGCCTACTCCTGGACCCCCTACATCCAAATAGCAACTGTGATCCTTAGCAAACCACTTCACACCCCTTCTGTGCATATATACTGTGCATATAAGTATATCTCTAGTGTCACTTAAACTTATGTTTCATTCTTCCCAAGGGGCAAAGCGTCAGACAGAAGCATATTTTTTTAAAAAAGAAATTCTGAACTAGATCTGGATGAATCAGCTGGAACACCAAGAAAGAAGACTGACTAAAAATAGTGAGAGGTGGTATTTCCCACAGATGCGGGCTCTGGGGCCCACACTTTAAAGCAGGGGTGGCACACTATGGCCCCAGATGGGCCGCCTGTGGTTTGTAAATAAAATTTTGTTGGGACTCATTGTATTCGTTCATCGTACGCATTGTCTATGGCTGCTTTCCTGCTAGAATAGCAGAGTTGAGTAGTTGCAACAGAGACCATAATACCCACAATGCCTAAAATATTTACTATCTGGCCCTTTGCAGAATAAAATTGCCAAACCTTGCTTTAGTGGACCCCTTTTTCCCTGCTGCCCCTTCTCGGAGGTCAAGGAGCCCGTGGCCTAGAGGATATGCCTACTCAGATAAGCCATGTCCTCGCTTCTAGATACCCAAGTGTTCTACTGAAGCACTGCAAGCCCATTTCCAGGGCCTTCCCTAAGTCTGTGTGGCCAAGGATGGCCCAGGCCACCAGTGTGCTCACCCGTAGACCTGAGATGTATTGAAGGGACACCTGTGTTCAGGCTTAAGGATGTGTGGCCTTGGCCTTCCACCACCTCTGAGGTGGAGGATGGACTCTAGAATGGGAGGCTCACAGATTCTACTTTATTTAGCATTTTGAAGACTTGATTTAAAACATTTAAATATTAAGACACATGGTATGTGGGTCCCCATGTTAATCTTTGCCTAGGTCCTTCAAATCAGGGGTGGGCTGCCTTTTGAAAGTCTGATAGGGGAACTTCAGGTATAGCACCCACTGCCTTCCCTGGCCATGTCCCAAAACAGGGGGTGGGAATGTTGCTAGGACAGAGGAAATGCTAAAGCAATGACTCCCCTGACTGAATCAGAAGCTGAACTTGAGAAAGGTGAAGTCCCTGCTATACAGAGGAGAAAAAAAAAACAAAGGGAGAAGAAATAATATTTGACCTGATTTTATTTACTAGAATTTGATTTTTAAAAATGTATAACTACTTAAGTATACATGGGAACATGCTCCCTTGTTTGACAATGAAGTCTTTCCCTCTAGGTCTTCTCTCTCATGTTTTACTGAGCAGAGAAGTCACCTGGGAATGGTGGTAAAATGCAGATTCAGATGCAGCAGGTGGGGCCCAGTTTCCCCGTGTCTGAAAGTTCTCAAAGATGCCCTGTGCTGCCGGTCAGTAAAGGACAGATTGAGTAGCCAGGCTTTGGGATATTAAAGAGCTAAGAGTGAAAGTGGAGAAGCTGTGACCATTCTAGACAGCTCTTCTAGCTCTGACCTAGCTCTAGGTTCTTTGTGTCATGAAAAGTGTGGGAGACTGGAGCAGAAACTTTTAGACGCCCGAAGTTAAGAATGCCATTCTAGTGTAGAGAGCAAGGACAGGTAGGAGCTTATGTATTCAGCAGCAAGCATTCCTACCTACCACCCTGCTTGGCGCTGTCCCTCTCTCTTATTGAGTGCAACATGTGTTGCTAGTTTGGGGCTCCCCTTTGCATGTGAGAGAAAAGACGTTATTACCTCGAAGATGTTTAAGGCGGTAAGAGTCTGGCAGGTATCAGTGATCTTATGCCATTTCTTTCGCCTACATAAAAACCCCATGTTTCCTGGAGCGTCTGGAGGGCAAGGCTGACTGCAGTGGGAATTGTCCACACAGACACCATCGCATGCACCTGGGACGATAAAAGGCATCAGAATCAGATGGAGAGGCATGGACTCTGGGCTTCATGGGCCAGTCACCAAGGTGTCACCGCATGAAGGCACATAAATCCTGTGGACATCGGGTATCTTTTCTTTGAAAAATGGAGGAAGATTGAAGTAGATCAGTGATCGTCATATTTCAGTGACAAACTACTATTGTTTCCAACAAAATCTTACTCTGAACTCAAATGTAGAAAATAGATAAAAGTGTAACTGGCCCAATTAAAGTGAGCAGGAAGAGCTCACAGTTCAATCCCTAGGTCCCTCTTGCACCCCACAGGAACCCCCTGAGTACCTCCTCAGTCCCCTAGAGGAGGGGACAGTTTGCAAGCCACTGTACCTGATGTTCTCTAAGAAACCTCCCAACTCTGAAACTTTATAATCAGTTATGTCATCAGCGAGTTCTCACAGCCTTGTGCTAGCCACTGCCCCAGTCTGAGTTGGCTCAATCCAAGGATTTATAGTAAAGAACCCCCCAGACCAGGATGGAGCAGAGGGAGCTGGCAGGAGAGGGAAGCGGAGGCCAAAGGTATAATTTAATATGAGAAAAATAAAAAGGAAGTCCTGATGCGAGCCATCAACAGTCCCGCCTGCCATGCCATAAGACAGGACCGAGGATGGCCCTCAATGATAACAGATGGACAATAAAACTTTCATTTGATTAGTAACTGCTACCAACATACCGTGTGGCCTGGCAGTCACCTTCTCCTTGCTTTTGCTGGCAGCCTAGAGAGGGAAAATCAAAATTCACATTAAAATCAGTTGGTGATAAGCCAGCCCAATCATTCACTTTAGTCAGCAGCCAACAACCACATCTTCATCAGCTATGATGCCAGGACCCCACCAAAACTAAGACCAGGGAGTGTGTCCCAGGACCCCATTCTCCCTTTAACCTGGGCAGCTACCTCTCCCACTGCTATCCAGGAGGAGCCCTTCTTCCACCCCAGCAAACGTGAACTACACTCTATCTAAACGGTAAGTCATGAGGTGGGTTTACTGTGAGGTTAAAGAAGGCTAAGCTTCAGCATCCATGGCTTGTATGGGCCCCTCCAAAGCACTGAGAGAGGACTGACAATGGGTTCACATGAGGGTATGTTTTATTCCACTGTCCAAAGCAAAACTCTTCCACCACCATCTGTTCAGACCATTATTTTTTGCCAATCCAACTCCCCCTCCTTCACACACTCCCCCATTTTGGACAGCACTAGAGAGGCTGTAGCTACTTATGGAATCTGGACAAGTAGGAGCTGACTTGGGGAGACATTTAGCCTGGGTTCAATAGTACTTCTACAGTTTGTAGCCATTTCTGCATTACAGCGAGGACATCAATGCATAAGAGGCGTTAATTCTAGGAGCACTTACAATTAGTCACAGAACAAGAAGGTTCTAAGAGCCATGAGGCCCTGTAGGTCATACACGAAAGAAACTTGCTAGAGGTTTTCCCAAATTTGACAAGAGTTCTACATATTTACATGGCATTACTGACAATGAATTCAGAAGCTGAAAGTTATTTTTCTAAACTAGAGTAATAAAGTTAATCAGCAATGCTAGAGGAAAGACTGAATAATCTTTCTATTCTCTGGATACAGAAAAAGTTATAAAATTATCAACATGCGCCCGGCCGGGCGTGGCTCAGCGGTTGAGCGTCAACCTAGGATCCAGGCAATCAGGGTTCGATTCCCAGTCAGGGCACATGACCGATGTGTGGGCTCGATCAATGACTCTCTCATCATTGATGTTTCTATCTCTCTCTCCCTCTCCTTCCCTCTCTCTGAAATCAATAAAGATATATTTAAAAAAAAAAAAAATTATCAACATGCAAATATGCAGCCAAAAATGTAGGAACAAAAATGTGGGTGGTTCATTAATAAAAATATTGTTATTTTATTGAATGTATTACTGCATAATGCTGAGTAATGATTGAATGTAATACTCTTCAGCACTTCTAAATTTGAAGTTTGTTATGATTCTTTTTCTCGTTCTAACTATTCACTTTTCCCTAAATTTTGAATTTGTAATTTTGTATTCTTTTTTTTTTAAGAAGGGCCCCTCAAAACCCAGCTTCCCCCTACCATGAGCATTCTCACATCTCTTGGTTAAAAGCCCCTCTTTCCCACCCATCTGTATGATACTGTACCCTTTACTGAGAAGCAGTGTCACATTGTGGTCAGGAGGTAGCTGGGAACAGAGGTCTGGATTCAAATCCCAACGCTGCCACTCGAGACCCCGAGAAAGTTCATCTCCCTGAGACTCAGTTTCCCCATCCATAAAACAAGATAGGAATTATAGTACTATAATTTCATAATCTGGACTCAGATAATTGTTATGAAGAATAAATGAGAACATGTATGAAACACTCAGAACTGGGCCTGTAATATTGTAAGTGGTATTTAAGATTTAGCTTTCCTTATTATTCTCTAAAAATGGACTTGCTGAATGTCTATTAAATACAAAGCTCAAGTTTGCCTCCTCTAAGAAGTCTTTCCTGACCCAGTTCTAGATGATACATCTCTTCCTCCCTTGCTCCTGCAAAATTTATTATCCATGTCACCATACCACTCATTCAATGGTTGGCATATACTCACTTGACCTGCTGTCTTATTATCTAATCCTTTCTATATATGCATGTTATCTTCACAATTAAATCCTAAGTTTCTTAAGGACATAGACTGTGTATTATGCTTCTTTATATCCCCCTAAGTAGCTAGGTAAGTACATAAATGTATACATACATATTAGTATGTACGTATATACTGGCATGTATGTATGTGTATATGTGTGTGGACAGTGAGTCTAAATCTTCCTGTTTCTTCCCCAGAAGTTTTCTCTCTAGGGGCTAGAAAGAGCCTTGATAGAGTCACTCTGACCTGCAATCCTAGATCTCAACCACTGGGGAAGGAACTGGAAATTCAATGACAGCTGCGTGACTGACACTTGGAGTTCACATCCCTTTCTTCTTCACAACATTGTTTATCTCTATGATATCAAGAAACAACACTGAATCTTCCATTTTCTTTACCAAATCAGAATTTATGGAGAATCTGAATTGAGCATTTGGGTTCTGTGAGGAAGGCGTCCCTGATTCATGGAATACAACACCCTCCAAAATACTGTGGTAAGGTGACTTCTCGTTTCACAACCAAGAGAATCAAGCCTTGTTACATACATTGGAGAGCTAAAGGCCTTCCACCAAATAAGAATTCTAAAATAATATTTTTGAAGTTCTAAACGACCCTATGGATCAACCAGCCCAACCCCCTTATTTTACAGATAAGGAAAGTGAGTCTTTGATAGATGAGGTGACTTGCACAAGGCCATGCAGGGTGTTCCCCTTACAGCTGGGGTGAGAACTCGCTCTCCTACTCCTACAACACTGCTCTTTCCGCCAAGTCAACCCACGTCCAAGTGGAGAAGGCAGAGGAGGGCGTATGGAAGTTCAAGCTTCTCAAGATGCTCTACGCCCATCTTGAGAGGGTCATGATCTCCACTCCACCACAATAAAGCACATAAAAGTGGACAACTCTGGATAATACTTGGCGCCTTAAACAGACTACAGTGAAGTCACGGTATATTAATCAGGTGTGTGGGCAGAAGGCTGTGGTATGCTGTTTACAAGGAATTCTGGAAAACTCTGCCTTCTTAAGTAAAGGACCCCATTCACTTCTTCCCAGCATCTGATAGGAGCTATGTTAGCTTCAGATACCTACAATCCTCAACATAATACTGTAAAAAAAAAAACAAAAAAAAAAACCCACTTCAAAACCTGCTACCTGCTAAACCTGTGGAGCTGCCTGAGTGAGTAAGCAAGTCAAGAGAGGTGTAGCACCCAGAAGCTCAGCATCCAGCAACTTGCTTAGTAAAAATAAAAGGATGGAATGTTCCTGGTGAGGTGATCCCCAATAATCAAGAAAACAACGCTAACCTCCAATGCTCTCACTACTTTTCTAATTCTGTCATGTAGGAAAATATGAATGAGAAAATGAAAGGAGGAAATAGTACCTTGCTGTGGGGTTGGGATGCCTCCTGGAAAAGGTCTTTCTGAAGGGGTCTCCAATCTATCCCAGAAACGAGGCACCCATTCAGTGTTGGGGGATTCTCCATATCTTATTTTAAATAAGTAACTAATAGGAAAATTAAAATGACTTGTAATCTGAGGAGAAATCTTCCAGAGAGAGGCAAAGGGCTCACTGCCCCACAAAATGTACAAAAAGTGCATTGCTACAAACTCCATTCCAGTTAGACCTTGATTAGCGATTACCTATGTGAGTTGCTCTTTGCCCCTTCCAGCCCATCTGTGGTGGTCACTATCAAGTTTCTCAAACCAGATGCCATTTGGGGTGGGACAATGCTTTACTGGGCCAGGCCATTCCTAGGTCCTGCCTACACTAAATGCCATTAAATATCTCCTAGTCAGTATTTCACCTTCACCACACCCATATTTTTAAGTGCCCCTGAGGAAGTGGCCCTAGTTACAAGCCACTGAAAGCTCATCACCAAAGGATATAAAAAGAAGAGTTTATCACTCTTAAATCATTTCAGCCTCACTGCATCTCAGGAACTTATAGAAAAAGTTGATGGGAAAATAATCTGCAACTCTTGGCTAAATGGGTTTTGTACATGTGTAGTTGCAACTGCAATTTCTTCTGGCTGAACCATCTACCACCATCCTCTCCCTACACTTCAGCTCAGATAACCTAGAGCTGGGTTTTAGTTTCCGTTCGCTACCCAACCATTTCGTGCTCCCACTTCCCTTCTCTTACCTGGCATAATGTCCTGCAGGACTCTGTGGGCAGAAGAAACAATAAGCAGTACAGCAAAAACGTATGAGTCATTGTCTTCAATGCAGCTGCCTTTCTTGCTTCTATAAAAATAAATGAAAAGGCAAAAGGTTTCCAATCTGAAGCTTTCAAAATTCCACGCCACTGCAGACCCATTCGGCTTATCAGACTGGCTTCTGTCTTTAGTGCTTTCTACTCAGAAGTCCCTGCCCCAGAGGTGGCCTCCCCGTGGCCTCTCATCCATCGACTTCACCAGGAAGCTGCATGTGTGAGCACCTGCTGGCACTGGGAGGCCCAAACAATTGCTGAGATAACCTCCAGCCTCTGCTGTCTGCTTGCATGTGATGCCTCATGTGGGAATTACTCCAAAGGAAGCTCCCTGCCCAGATGTAATGAATAACAGCCCGTGCCCGGGAATGGGGAAGATGGCTCACTCTCTGGGTTAGGCAGGGCTGAGAAACATGTGGGTGGCTACGGTGGAACGTGAGTTGGAATTCCTATCTGCAGACTCAGCCTAGAAATATATTTTGAAGGAGAGTAAGCACCAGCCTTGGCCTATTATCCCTCACTCCCACCTACCCCTGGAGCTGTGTTTTCATAGGTAGGTAGCAAGTTATTTCTGCCAAAACTGATGTTCAAATGATTCCTTGGCACCTAGAACTATGGTGGCCACATGGTGGGCACACAATATACTCAATAAAGGAAGAGGAAAGGAGGGTGGGTGGGAAGAACTGACAGTTTGCATCAGGTTTCTGCTCTACACAGGACGCATGTAAGTCAAAATTTCAATTCGAAACTTTAATAATTTTAATATTTTTCATCCTGAGTGAGATCCTCTTTGAAAGGCATTTGGTGTTTCTTTGCTTTCAGATGGAAGGACTCAGAAGACTTGGATGTCAACAAAGGTTACGGGCTTTGCAATGGTTGATATTTGCTATTTCACCATTTTTGGCCAAAAGGGAATAGTCTTTATCCCAACCATGCATAATTCTATAGCAAACAATGCCATTATTTTAAAGATTATGCAAAATGTACTTTTAAATCATGTTTCTTGCATTGAAATACTTGCCTAGCTGAAATTCCACTGAAATCTAATGATTATTTTAAAAATTTGAATTACCTGTTTCAGCTTATTGTCAATACAGGTTTCTGAAGGTATATAGATCTTTAAGCAAAGGGATTATTACTTTGTCGATCATCACTTTTAAAGAGTTTAGTAGCAACCCAGGTGGCCACACAATTGTAAGTAAATGGCAGTCATGTTTACACCCTTTATTCCAACCGAAGTCATTCAACGGATGGAAATCCCAGGATACAAATCACCATGCAACTTACCAGAACCATCACCAAAGCAATTACTACTTTGGGTAAAATCATCAAAAATGGAAAAAATTAAAACCAATGATGAACTTTTTGATATAATTCTTATAAAATCTGAGATGGGCCCATGTTTTTCTGAATTGCATTAACTTTATATTAAAATTCTCATCATACAGGATATTCTTCCTCTTAACTAAAACAAATTTTTAAAAAGTAGTTTTAGAAATGATTCAAGACAACAAACTCTCATAGAGTTAGCACTACTCAGCCCAATACTCAATAGATATTTTATTTTTAAAAAGGAAGAGGAATTGAATGATTATTTAAGGTTCACCAGTCAAGATGAAAACCATTCTGTTTGCTTAAAATGTTTAAGGTGTTGCAGTGAAATAATTCTTTGCTTATTATATTGTCATTTTGTTTTAAATTGTAACTATAGTGAAGTTTTAATTTTTATAAAAATGCTTTTTGATTGTTGCTAAAATTATGCTTCTACTTCTGACAAAATAAGCACTTTGTGTTTTATGTGGGAATGACCTTCGCTAGACTTTATGGAGTGGCCTGTTTCGATAGGCATGCTGCTACCTAGTACCCAGGATTTTCTAACATCTTTTCTTTAGTCCAGATCTACCTTTTTATAGAAGAGGGACCACAACTCTAGAATGCAATCTTTTCCCAAGGTTCAGCAACAGTGTGAGTCTACTTATTAGTGCAATTTTAACTCTTTTTCAATTCTCTTAATTAGAAGGAACATTTTCTAAAGCTGACTCTTTGAATTTTGCTTATAAAACTGATTGCTCTTTCAATAAAGTGGCTTAGTTTAATCTGAACTTAAATAGACCCATTTTCTTCCAAATTTGTTCACATTAAGCCCTTTTCAGATTAGCTTTTTCCAGTTCCCTGAAAGCAGAAAGTTTAGATGAAGCCAAATGGCAAGCACAAATCCAATCTGTTGACCACTTTTCCCCCCAAAACCTTCATCCGTGTTTTGTTTTGAAAAGCCATAAGTCTCTAACAGTTCAGAGCTCCTTCCCCAGGTCCGCCCACACCTTTCTGAAATGCAGGGGTAGCTGGCATGCAACAATTCCCTCTCAAACAAATGTTTGAAACTGTTGGTTTCACGTAGCCCAAGTCAAAACATTCATTATGGACATCACTTCAGAAAAGGCTAATTTCTCAAAAGCACACAACTTGAAAAAACAGTCACTTCGGGTGATTCACACCAAAAAAAAATTTAAAAAAAAATAAAAAGTTAGTATACCAGCACTGAAATTTTGCAAAGTAAAATGTGCCAAATATAAAGTGTTGGATTTTTTTTAAAATTGAGAGACCTCTTCCCTCCTCCCTTATAAAAACAAACAAACAAACAAACAAACAAACTCAGCAATGTGTACAATGACCAGATTCAAAAAGGTATCTCCAACCATCCAACATCGAATATATCCTTCCATTTTGTGTTGTCTGCTTTCCAAATCTGAAAAGGGTGCCCAAGGTGTTCATTCAGCAAAGACAAAATGAGCCCCTCATTTCCAAGCAATGTCCTAACAGCTAGAAATGAAATGAGCATGACTTCTCTGTCTCCTTACAAGCTTGGGGAAGTCACAGTGTGATGGGGCTTCTGAAGACTAGGAACTTAGAGGGGCCTTGCTCCCCAGTGACCTGCAGACCTTGTTGGAGTCAAAGATAGAGGAATAGACATGACAAGAAGTATTCCAAAGTTCTGAATTCCACAAAACAGTTCTCATCTTTGTACACAATTTAATTCTGAAAAATTTCTTCCTACTCCATGTTGCATTCCTCCACCCCAAAGCCATATGGTTGACTGGCAACTGGCACAGCTCACTAGTGACAGACAAAGCTGGGAGAAAGAAATCACATTGTAAATGGAAAGGAGAGGGCCTCATCTCCCCCGGTTACTGCTGGGGTTGGAATTCTTGCAATATCCCAAGAAAAGGAATTTATTGAGACTGGCACCAGCAGTCTCAATAAATTTTTATTTGCATGGAATTAAATCCCAGAGTTTCCAAAGTCCCATTTCCCTTACTCCAGTAGTAGAAGTGTAGCTGGGGTTTCAGTAGAGCTAAAATCAGAGCCGGTGTCCAGAGCTTCCTTTCCATGTTGGAGCAGGGCCCAGTCCAGCATCAGGCCAGCTTAGCTGTGTTTCCAGCTGCAGGCCATAATTCTATTGCCTGTGGGGTCCATAGGACCACGTGGTGAAGGAGGAAACACAAGGGAATGCGAGGAAGTAGGAGAAAAAAGCCCCACTAACCAAGAGTCAAGCACAACAAGAACAGCCAGAGCAACAAGAGAGAGAATTCCTTTGTTTAGGGGATTGTGTATTTCCAGATTGTCATGGGTTTGCAGTGGCCACGCTGATTCTGACCAACCATCTCTATCCCCAAGTTTGATTGATAGGCAAGTACCTTCCCTATGTCACCCCAACTTTATTGGGCATGTGTCTATCTTTCCCTTGTCCAGTCCCCTTCTTCCAGTGTTTTTCAGGGAACAGGCTGGTGGTTCCCTGGGAGTGCAAAGCAGCAGCTTCCTGGTGAAGGTGCCCAAAAGACATTCTTATAATGTCCGTCTTTCCCCTTTGCTCCTTTCTATTATTAATAACTAGCTAATCACAGTTGTATCAGTGTGGGCAACATGCTGGAATGTCCGTGGATGGTCCCATTAGAAAAAACATTTGCTTAATGTAAATACACATTTACCCACGCAAGTGATAAAGACCAGAGCAATTTCATAGGGTGATTTTGGAAAAAGTTAAGAACAAAAACTCTACAACTTGAACGCTTCAATCTTGATTAGAAAGAAATGATTGGAATAGCAATCACAGCATGCACAAAGGTAAACAAAACTCCAGACAGAACTGTATCAGCCACTCAGGAGTATTTCAATCCCTGGCTTTGTCAGCTGACAGTCTGAGGCTGCTACTTGCATGATTAGGTTTTGTAATGAATTCCTGAGGCTCCAAGTGAGATCCACAAAATGCTATCAAAGTTCCCAGACAGACTGTGGGAATACACGTCAGATGATCTCAGGGGTGAAGGATTCCATAATGTCTATCATTTAGCCATCCCACTGTTTCACCTCTAGCCAATGACCAGGCCCATCCCTGCTGCTTGAAGGCAGACACTATGGAAGGGAAGACTGTAAAACAAATAGCTATTGTTTGTTTACTGTGTGTCTGGCACTATGTCTACATCAGCTCCTTGAATGCCATCAGGGAATTCTGTGCAACTGAAGTGAGTTCCAAAATTTTCTAAAATTATGGAAGCTCAAATAAGGGGCTAAAGGCTGGCCCTGCTCAAACTCACAGGTATTAAGTGGCATATTTGCTGTAGGAACCCAGGTTTGTGACTTTTTCATTTTGCCATGTGGCTTTTCTAAAATAAGAATGCTAATTTTCGTATGGGGTTCATGCTTTTAGAACATTTTCACCTATAACTTTTACGTTGACATCACATTTTATGAGGTAGGCAGAGAAGTTATCATTTTCTATCTTTTATCAGAGAGAAAATTATCCAGCTAGTAAGTAGCTTTCCCAAGGTCGCACTGCAAGTTATTGAAAGAACCTGACTCTCTTTTGACCCCTGACCCAGAGCTCTTTTAACTGCATCATTCTGTCCTGTCTTCCTTTCTGTACTCACCAGAAATGTAAAAGGGCAGGTCACCATCTTTAGCAAAACACACACACACACACACATATAGAGATAAACAGAGAGAAAGAG